GTAGGTGTTGAAGTTTTTTCATGAAGTTAACTCTTGTGACATATAATCCAATACTAGAATAATTTACTTGCCCGTAGGTGTAAATTAACCTAGTTTCATGAAGTTTTATTGGTGATTAAGTTTCATGTCTTCAGTTACAAATATTTCCACTACGAGCTCCATTATAGGTTGTGGTTTAAGGCATGAAATTAGTTGCATCATGATGTATTTTTGTCTCTCCATGAGACTTGTTGATGCAAAGTTATTGAGCCCATGAAGGTTAATAAAAAATTGCTAAGGTACGCATTGTTTAAGTATTATGCTTGTAAATCTTTTCAATTTGAACTATGATATCGATTTAGATGATAAAATTTGACTACTACAACTTCCTTTGAACATCAAAATTGAAATGATATGAAATTGAATTTGTGTTTTTTTTTTTTTTTGGAAGAACCTTTCCGAAGAAAGGAGACATTTTTATTCCAAACTCTAGATTGCAAACAGAGGCCCACATACAAACCAGATACATGCACACAGATAGGCCTCCCAACAAACCCACCAAAGCTTAAAAAAGAGCCCAGCCTTACAAACAAAACAAAGGAAGTTTCAAGACCCCAGCAAAAGTTTTCTGGATTAACCCATAAGAAATCCTTCAGCTGACGCCAAATCCAATCAAGCAACTCCGCAGAACCCAACCACGGAAGCTGTACCGATCGCCCCAATCTCAGCCAGAAAGTGGAAGAAGTCTGTGGGAACACCCCGAATGACACTACCAACGAAGGCAGACAAAGAGAAGGAGAAGAAGGTGGTGTGTTAAACACCCGAGCCGATGAGTCCACCGGAGCTCTACGCACCCTCTCAAAATATCGCAACCATGTGCTTTGAAATCTGACTGCTTATCGAGTTGAAAGTATATGGGGAAGACAGGCATTGGGTACAGACATTTTGGGTAAATCAGGAAGAACTGGAGAGAAAATTATCCAAAAATTTGAGAAACAAAAGCAAAACAAAAACCTTACCTCCGACCCCCACCACAACGAGGGCCTTCAGCAACGATTTTAATCGATGAGGGAATCACTCACACACAAATGGTGGAAAAGACTCTCAAGAAGAGAGAAGGAACCTCTCACATAGAGAGAAAAGTCTGTAAATATTGTGAAATTGAATTTGTTATGGATGCATAGATTCATGATAGATGCACATAACTATTTCTGGCAGATTGCAAGTCTTGACTAAAATTGGATGAATGACAAGTCTAATGGTCACCAAATGACCTGAATTTTTTATATGTTCTACATATGCATGTCTACTAACACTATGTTTGGATGAGGGAAATAAACTTGGAATTTGGATAAAAGTTAGAATTTTTAAATTGACATGCACCAATTCTCTTGTTTGGATTCATAAATATAGAAATTTAGAATTTCCGCATGAAAAAAAAACTTGGAATTTGGAACCTCCAATTCCCAAGTTTAAATTCCATGTAAATAGGTGTCATTTCCCAATTTCTATCATTGAGAACTTAAAAATAACAAATTCCATTTTCAATTCCATTGTTCTTTTAGGCTATAACCAAATAAAAAAATTCACAAATTCTAAAAAATAAAATTCTGCCAATTCAATTTCCGTCATTTTAAAATTCCTTAGTAATTTTAATTTTCTTCGTCCAAACATAGTGTAAGTTTTTGAAAATTTTCGTAATTTTTTGCCAGGTATTGTTATTATGGTGACATGCTCGTATTGACAGTTTTGCTGACAGATTGTGTTGGTCTTTTGAGAAGTTACTCTAGACTACTATTTTGATCTAAAACGACTCTATATTTTTATTTTAGGAATAGTTTGATTTGTATAATTTTGGTAGTGACCAAGCTTATGAATTAATTATGGTAAATTCTAAAGTAATTGTAACTTATTGCTGAAATTCTGTTTGACAACTTTGTGTTGGTTTTGGTATCTATTCTATTATGTCTAAAATATGAAGTAATTTTATTTTGGTATATCTTTGAAAGAATGAATTAATGAGTGTTTGCCTAAATGGGAAAATTAGTGAAAGAAAATTGGGCTTCACTCATTAACTTATTTGTCATAAGTGTATAAACTCTAAAAGCGTAGTGGGAGTTGTTCTAAAGTTTTGAGCATTAAGTGGACTTTCATAAATCTATTAAAGTGTTATTCTATCTTCTATGAACATTTGGTTGCATGAATGAGTACTTGGTGTATGTGTATATTTTTCATATTACTTGCAATCATTTAGATGCCTTGATTGATTATGTGTTAATCTTTATAAAGAATTTTGAGGCTCATGGGGACTTAGCATAAATATAATTACTAATACAAACAAGATGGTTGTTGGATGATTGATTTTGCATAAACAACGGTGAATGTCTTAGTTTTTACTTTTCATTGAGATTATGCTATTTAATGTGTTAAAGAAAGGTTAAAGAAAGACAATTTTGTAGTGAAATGCATTAATTGCCTAAGTAAGGGTGTTCCCACAAGCATATTTTAAAAGTATGATTAAGTATTAATTTGCAAATTAAGTGACGATGTTGCAAACCAGTGGGACCTTGAGTTTCATTTTAGCCTTACATTTGCAGATGACCTATAAGGTATGTATGATTTTTGAATCCATGTATTCAACCTAATCTCTGATTGGATTCGTTGAGTCACATTTTTATGTGTTGGTCAATTATCAAATGACTATATATCTGATATCAAGTTAATCAAATTGTATTTTAAATCATAATGGAAGGGTTAATCTTCTTGCTTGTATGTGTGGACTAATTCTTTTGGTTTGACTTAAAATGGCATGACATGATTTATATGTTGTATTAGTTGTGAGGGTTTTTTCGTCTTGCTCATAAGTGTTGAAAATTTTCTCACGAAAGTAACTTATATGGTATATGAACCAGTGTGAAAAACATGTTAATTCATCTTACTCGTAGGTGTGGAATAATTAAGTTTTATGAAGTTTTGTTTGCAACTGCAATAAAAGTTTACATTAAGGATGACATGAGATGATAAAAGTTGAGACACATTCAGGTAATTAAAGTTTATCTATGTAATCATAATTTGACGGTGTTTCATGTGATGAGGATTTTAGCATGTGTGATTATGAAGGTTCTGGGTTGTGTCAACCTTACAACCTTATTAGTTCCATGTTGAAAGACTTATTTGACAGAAACTTGTATCAAGGATAGGATATTATCACAACTACATGGTCATTAAAGTGACATTAATTTCCAATCTCAAGTATAAACATAAATATTATATTTGTAGACCAGTGGGAGAATGTTGGATTTATTCCAATATAAATCAACCTTAAATGGTCTACAAGATACAATAAGAATGTAATATTTGATATTAATGCAGATATTGTGATTTGATCTCCTAAGACATCAATCTTATATTAGGTTAATACAAGTAAGATTGATGGAGTCTTTGATTAATTATATGTGATTATGATACCTAACTGATAAGCTGAAAATGGGATTTGGGATTCCTTTATGAACATAACCTTAATGCCTTAGTCAGTATAAATACTAAGATCTCTGCAAACCCTAGACACACAACAAACGCTTCCCTTAAAGTAATTGTATTCGGCTAGGTATTTTGTAGAAGATTATGATGTTGCCTCAACCTACATCCTCTTCGTTTGGTCTCTAATGGCTACCGCTTCATGATCAGGTCAGCCAACTCCTTATTTTATATTTTAATTATATAACCATATAAGTTTACATCATATGTATGGTTGAGGCATTGAGATTACAAGACTCTTCTCGTAGGGTTTTGATATTCAATTTCCCAGCAGGATATTCTGAATTCAGACGTTGCTAAGGTCAAGGGAAGCTTAATAATACAAGGAACAAGTCACAGAAAGGGAAAAGAAAAATCAGTATCATATTTTTAAAATGTGATTAATTAAGGAGATTATTTATTTATTTATTTGTTTGGGAAGCTATTACATTTACCAGTTTTGGATGTTTGTATGCCATATTGCCACGCAGAGACTCAGCAATATAGATAATAGAATATTCTCCTGTCCGGGACTATAAAGCAGATGATACATTAATTTGGCTTGTTGTGACCAATTTATCTGACAAAGTAAAGAGAAGTGTGTAATTATGTGGTTGTGTTATTCTTCTTACGTAATGTTTTTATTGGCTTTTTAGCCATAATAGTCCATAAGATTTGCATAACTCATCATTTTGGTCTATGTAATTTGAAATCAATAGAAGTAGTCTATGAGTTTGTCCATCATCAATTATTTTCGTCTTCTTATGGAAAATCACCATTAAATAAGGCTAAAATAATAAAAAATACTTTCAATTTTTGTCAAATCATTTGATCCATTGTTTATTAATTAGAGGATATTTTTTTCATTTTGGTCCTTATTTAATATAATTTTCTATGGAAAGACCAACATGATTGATGGTGGACAAACATAGGGACCATTTCTATTGATTTCAAATCTCAGTGACCAAAGTAATGAATTATACAAATCTTAAGGACCATTTTGGCTAAAAAACCGCTTTTATTTATAGTAATAAGGAGGAAAAGAATCCTAGTTCTCCAAGGAAATACAATCCTAGTACAATGGTGTTGATAAACACAAAAATCATCAAGACGATCAAATTATTTACAATCTTCTATTTTTTACAATGCGATATTCTAAACTACTTTTTGGAGGGTGATTGAATGCAAGAGAGGAGGCTAACCTAAAATGATCTAGTAACATCTAAAAATTACTAACTCTTCTCTTTTTTTAAGACGGTATTGTAAACTATTCTAATTTACAAAGACGGTGATTGAGTGCAAGAGGGCATGTTGATCTAACCCACGTCTGCCAAGTACTAACAATCTTTAGTTTTGATCGACATTTTCTACTCGGGGATAGTTTCTTTATACCCATCATGTGAAAGATTTGGTAATGAACTCGAAGATTTGATTTTAACTAGCTTTTAGTCTAGCGATACATTTATAATCTTTCTATTTTGTGTTTCTGTTGAATTTCATGAATCATAACAGAATGGCTGCAATAAAGAATTGCTAACCCCTTACATAAAATCCAGAATCAAAATTTACACAAAATCTATCACAAACTCCTTACAGAAGTGACCTCTCCCTACCTTCTTCAACTACGAATTTGCTAATGAACCGAGTTTATTCGAGACACAATCAAAGATACGAAGAACTTACACGAAAAACATTACATCAATTGCGAATGCTTGCTGATGGCAATTGCACTTCTCAGCAGATTTCTGCTTTATGGTCTTCTATACCAATTTTCAATCGAACTGTCGAACTATAAAGCTATTTCGTTTATCGAAAGGCAAAACTAAGCTTTTTCGAAATTCAGATTGTGGCAAGAATTGTCACATGGGTACGGACAATCTATGATCTTCACGCTTGTTCGGTCGAAATACCAATCTCCAACTGCTATAGCGATTGCCTGCACGTCATCGGTCACACATAAACATTAGAGTTTGAAATTTAAGATCTCTTGATTTTTATGATTGGGAGAGAACTTGATATACTATGTTGTATCAGAGGCTCACCTTCTTTCCAATAACTGGAGAATCATCAGCAAACCATGTATCCTGCCTCTCGGATTGGCAGTGCGCAAAACACGAATTTATAAACAATCCGTTTTGTTCAGACATAGAGAACTGTTTTACTGCATTCAGCATTTGATTCCTGAATCCTGTTTGAAAGAAAATTAAAAATCATAACAAGCAGTACAAATTTGGTTAATGTGTTTCTGAAATGCTATGAAATCTTAAGATTCAAAGTAATTCCTCAAATGTGGGATCACCTTGAAGAAAATTGATCTGTGATGGAGTACATTTTTCATGGTTTAATCTGCAATCGCGCCAGTAGCCGGCAGGATCTGCTGCCGGTGGAGCTAAACTGGTCTGGATCTGTTTTCAAGCAGAATCATTCCATCACTTACCAAACACTGTGCGGCATGGAACATCAGGAAAAACCAAATTTTAGAACCCTGTAAAAGCGAAACTTTACCTGCCACGAATCATATGCTGCATTGAGTATAAACAGTGGGGTTTTGATGCTGGAGATCAAGTTCTGAGGGAAGAAGCACTGCAAGGAAGGATGGTAATTTAAGAGTAAATAGCAGTGCACATAACTTTTCGATTTTTCCACCTATCTTCAAGTTAAGGACTGGAAAAAAAGAAATATATAGGAAGGGAAAAGGAAATGATTACCGAAGTTGGGTCAAGGTGATTAGTGCAATATTGTGGCAGATTTGGTTTCACCCCCTGTGATAATCATAAGAAAACCATAAGCGTGCATCGAAAACATGGAATAAATTAAAAGAAAAGAAGAAGAAGATAAAACATGAATTGGGGGTGGGTTACAAATCTTTGAGATCGAGTCAATACCTGCAAGCCGACAATGCCACTATATAAATTCCTGAGTGTGCGTCCACCAGAAACGTCATTCCTACAAGTTGATACAGAATCACCATTAATATCTGTGTGAAATTAATAAGCTAGAGCAGGTATTCACATTGGACACAGAGAGAGAGAGAGAGAGAGAGAGCATTCCGGATGGTACTTACGCATCAAGAAACAATCCAGCATCACTCAGGCACTTCACTTTCGTAGTTCCAGGCATTAAACCCCGGAACTTATCACAGTGCAAAATAGCTGCCACACCACCGGCAGAGCAACCCGAAAGAAGAGCCTGAAATACAATCTGTCAATATACTGAAAGATGTGGCATAGCATGAGAATAGACCTTAAACAAGAAGAACCTGCTTGGCGTAGCTCATGCCCTTTGATTTCAAGTCTTCCATTGCAGCCAACCATATACGCTCTCCTCTAAATTGCAGTTCTTTGGCCTAAAAGCAGAATCTATTGAATATTATTGAATATTCTTTAAACCCTAATAGCTGTAAAGCTGTGTTTAGCTAGGGTTTAGTGAGCTGTGTTATTCCCTCTTCTGTGTAAAGCTTGTTAATAAGCTGTAAAGCATGTGTTAGAGAATGTGGAGGTCATCATACTCTCATGCTTGCTTAGCTGACTTGCTTAGCTGCCATTGTCCCCCTCTCCTCTCTCTTTCCCGATTATTCTTCTATTTATGCTTAATCTTGTAAACTGTTTTGATAATGAAATATACATTAAGGTTTTCTATATGGTATCAGAGCAGTGATCCCTCAAGGACCTGCATCTGTGTTCTTCCGAAATCCTACCAAATTCAAACCAGTTAAAGCCATTATGGCAACATCATCAGAGAAAGTTTCAAAAAACGAAACTATGGATACCAACCCAATTCAACGTTTGAGCTCAGTGCTCCTAAACGAATTCAACTATCTGCCTTGGTCACGAGCTATTTCTCTCGCTCTTGGAGGACGTGGAAAGCTCCAGTTCATTCAAAAGGATGATATCATGCCCGAAACAACTTCACAAGATTATGCAGCATGGGTGTCCCAAGATCAACTTATCATGTCTTGGCTGTTGAATTCTATGGAACCAAAGATGGCTGAGATTTTCAGTTATTCAGTATCATCTCACCACCTTTGGATTTCTGTACGAGACATGTATGGAGATCTAAACAATGCTGCGCGAGTCTTCCAGCTGAAGAAAGATCTTACAGAATTACAACAGGGAAATCTCTCTTTTGTTCAACATCTTGGCAACTTGAAGGCCAAATGGAATGAATTGGATCTCTACCGACCTCATACCACGGACACAACCATTCTTTTAAAGCGTGCTGAAGAAGACAAAGTGTTCCAGTTGCTTGCCAGCATCGGACCAGAATATGAGGACCTTAAAAGTCATCTCCTGATGACACCTGAACTTCCCACCTTCCAGATGGTCTGCAACGTTATTCAACGCGAAGAAATAAGGAAGAAGGTCATGAATGCAGTCGTTGTCGTTGGAGAATCAGATCTTAGGCCATCAGAAGCAAGAGCCTTCACCTCTTTCAGACCATACAAGGGAAAACGACCAGACTTAAAGTGTTCTCACTGTGTGAAAATAGGTCGTCCAGGCATTGGACACATAAAAGAAAAGTGCTGGATTCTTCATCCAGAACTTAAACCCAAGTTCAATGATGATGGAAGAGCACCAAGAAACCAAATGAAGCCTGCCTACACTCCTCAAGGAAACCTTGTTTGCGACAATGTCTCCAAAAATGTGATGAACTCTTCTTCTAGTCCCATTACTCTCATAAATGAATTTGCTAACTTCCTGCAACAGAAACAAGGGACAACAAATCATGAAAATCCTGCAGCCATGCTCGGCAAGTTTGCTGGTTTCCTCGAACAATCAAGCTCAGTGTCACAAAATGATGTGCCAGGTATTGTTGCAACTATTTCCACTGCATTGGATCTTAGTAGTAGCCGTGGTTTTTGGATAGTCGACTCAGGAGCTTCTGATCACATGACTAACGATGCATCTTTACTAAATGATTTTCAAAACTTCTCCACTCCTTCTTTTGTCTCCGTAGCTAATGGCACCAAAGTTAGTATAGTAGGCATAGGAAAACTCAAAATCTTCTCAAGTAAAAAGGAATCCCTTGTCATGCATGTCCCTTCCTTTCCTTTCAAGTTGCTGTCAGTAGGAAGAATAACACAATTGCTAAATTGTCTTGCAATTTTTTCCACTCACTGTGTGATTTTCCAGGACCGAGTTTCGAAGGAAACGATTGGTAAAGGTTTCTTCCTCAATGGACTGTACTATGTCAATCTCTCTTCAAGTTTTCCAAAAGGTTTCTACGTAAACTCAAACACAGTAAACAAGGAGCAGCTGTGGCACATGAGATTAGCTCATCCTTCTTCCCATGTTATGTCTTTTATTTTTCCTAGTTTCTGTAAAGAGATTTCAGATTGTGAAGTTTGTCAAAAATCTAAGTCCACCAGGTTACCCTTTCCCCATTCTCTCTCTAGAGCTACCAAAGTGTTTGAAATTGTTCATTCCGACATTTGGGGACCTGCAACCTTAGAGTCTTTTGATGGCTACAGATTCTTCATCTCTTTCATTGATGATTTCTCTAGAACTACCTTTGTGTATTTTCTTAAATTCAAGCACGAAGCTTTCCAGTGTTTCAAAAATTTTCATAACTTAGTTCAAAATCATTTTAACTCTAATATTGGCATCTTAAGGTCTGATAATGGCTCTGAATATACTTCCAAAATCATGACAACTTACTTAAGTGAGCATGGAATCTTGCAACAAACTAGTTGTGTAGGAACACCACAACAAAATGGCATTTCAGAAAGGAAGAACCGAGATTTGCTTGAGAAAACACGATCACTAATGTTACAAGCAAACCTTCCAAAGAAGTTCTAGTCCCAAGCTATACAAACCGCTGCATACATCATAAATCGACTTCCTAGCAGAATCTTGAAGTTTAAATCTCCTTGTCAAATTCTCAAGGGGAGAGATATTGACATAAGTCATCTCCGTGTGTTTGGATGTGTGTGCTATGTGCATATTCAAACTATTCACCGAGATAAACTTGATCCAAGGGCTATCAAGTGTGCATTCGTAGGCTACTCAACTTCCCAAAAGGGATACAAATGCTATGATTCTAAAACCAGAAAGGTGTTTGTATCCAGGGATGTACGGTTTGATGAGACACACTTCTTCTTTCAGAAGCATGATGATGAACCTCAGGGGGAGCTCTCATATGAAGTGTTTCCCACTCCTCTCGTCCTTGATGATCCAAGACTGTCAACACCGCACAATGAAGCAATTGAGATAGAGCCAGCTCATGAAAATATGGAAGCAAATAATGAAGAAGTCCTCCACGAAAGGAGAGAGCCCCTTGAACAACCTACTCCTCCACGAAGGAATCCTTCTCGAAAACAGACAACCTCCAGCCAGGCTTGATGATTTTGAAATCTACATGCCTAGATATCCTATTGGACAAATGGTTTACCATAGCAAGACCTCTCCATCTCATGCAGCATTTGTCACTAAGTTATCTCAACACTCGGAGCCTCGATCCTTCGAAGAGGCAAACCAATCTCCTAAATGGAGATGTGCTATGCTTGAGGAACTGAAGGCACTCGAAGAAACTAAAACTTGGAGCATTGTTTCTCTGCCAAAAGATCAACGTGTGGTTGGGGCAAGATGGATTTACAAGACAAAATTTAACTCAGATGGAACCATCCAGCGGCACAAGGCAAGGTTAGTTGCAAGGGGCTTCACGCAAACCTACGGGGTAGATTACAAAGAAACCTTTGCCCCGGTGGCAAAGATGAACACAGTTAGAGTTCTTCTTTCGGTGGCTATCAATTCACAATGGTCTCTACATCAAATGGATGTAAAAAACGCTTTTCTTCATGGAGAGTTGGAAGAAGAAGTGTACATGCGCCTACCACCTGGTCATGAACGAGAGAAGGAACAAGGAGTAGTATGCAAGCTTCACAAGGCCATTTACGGTCTCAAGCAATCTCCAAGGGCTTGGTACTCAAAACTAAGCTCTGTCCTTATGTCATCCGGTTTTAAACGAAGCAATGCAGATTCTTCAATGTTCACTAGGCTTGGCACACATGGAAGATTGGTGGTACTTGTTTATGTTGATGATCTCATTGTCACAGGAGATAATCCAGAAGAAATCAATGCTCTCAAAGCCACCTTACATTCAACATTCTCAATCAAAGATCTCGGCAGACTTAGATACTTTCTCGGAATCGAAATGGATCAATCTCCAACGGGGTTGTTTCTAAATCAACAAAAGTACGTTCTCGATCTTTTTAGAAGAAGCCAATATGATGCATTGCAAACCTGCTAAAACACCTCTACCAACAAATTTCAAGCATGAAACCTCAGGCATCCAGCTTGAAAATGTATCGGAGTATCAAAGGTTGGTAGGAAAACTTATCTATTTGACTATAACTCGACCTGACATTGCTTATGCTGTTAGCTTTGTCAGCCAATTCATGCATTCTCCCACATCTCATCATCTGCAACTAGTTAAAAGGATCCTTCGATACTTAAAAAGCTCAATGTCTACCGGGATTTTCATGCAAAACAACGGACACTTCACCATTGAAGGATACACAGACTCTGATTGGGCAGGCAACGTCCTTGATCGCAAGTCCACAACTGGTTACTGCACTCTTGTAGGTGGTAACCTCGTCACGTGGAAGAGCAAAAAGCAATCTGTTGTAGCTCGGTCCAGCGCAGAAGCTGAGTACCGTGCAATGGCATCTACTGCATGCGAACTAATTTGGCTAAAGAGTTTGCTACATGATCTTGACATCATCTCTTCCAAGCCAATTCTCCTCCACTGTGACAATCAAGCAGCGATGCATATTGCTGCCAACCCCGTCTTTCATGAACGAACAAAGCATATCGAGGTTGACTGTCATTTCATCCGCAACCAAGTCCAGTCCAAGCTGTTACAAACTGCATTTGTTCGCTCCAGTGATCAACTAGCCGATGTGTTCACCAAGCCCCTTCCTTCTTCTCAACTTGATCGTATTCTCTTCAAGCTTGGATCCAGAAAATCTCTCGATCCAGCTTGAGGGGGAGTATTGAATATTATTGAATATTCTTTAAACCCTAATAGCTGTAAAGCTGTGTTAGCTAGGGTTTAGTGAGCTGTGTTATTCCCTCTTCTGTGTAAAGCTTGTTAATAAGCTGTAAAGCATGTGTTAGAGAATGTGGAGGTCATCATACTCTCATGCTTGCTTAGCTGACTTGCTTAGCTGCCATTGTCCCCCTCTCCTCTCTCTTTCCCGATTATTCTTCTATTTATGCTTAATCTTGTAAACTGTTTTGATAATGAAATATACATTAAGGTTTTCTATAGAATCACAATATTTTAGCATCTGGTGAGCAAATATGAGTGAAAACAGTTGAGGTTTATGTTGAATTTATCAGTTTTAAGCCAATTTTTTAGCCGCCAAATGATATCAAGGCCGCCAATTGGTAGAAATATGTAAACCGTGAGAACATTCCACTAACCTTATCTTCACTATCCCCAGAAAAAGAAGCACCATCGCAATAACGAACCTTGACTCTGTTCCAGTTGAAAAAATCTGCAATCCCATAAATGATAAAGATGAGGGTCAAGACAGTTAAACGAGGAAAAAGCAGATGCGCAAGCATAGCATTAAGTTTGAGGGGCAAACCAGGATTTTCTTCAGCTTTATTGCTTAGTATTCCACTGAATACTAACTGTTTTTCCATGTATTTTGATGATCCCCGCCTTGTTGTTTTTCGATAAACACAAGTTCTAATGTTGTTACACCATCCTCCCCCCTGCCACAAGATGTTAATTCACGTCAAGTCCTAAACTACGCCAATTGTCAGCAAATCAAGGAATTTGAGAGGCTTGAAGAAAGAAAAAGAGAGGCTTGTTTGGAAATCAATCAACCAAAGGTAACATGATAAAAACATGGTTTTCGTATTTAAAAAAACATTACACTACTGCAGATGATTGTAAAACTTGTCATCTGATAACTTTCATTCAAAACACGCTCTTAAGTCCGCAGTTTCAGAAACAATCTTCAAGATTTTGGTACATAAAGGTATGAAAGTTAAGGTTACGCGATAAGATGATACTGCGTAACCACATGAATCACAAACCTCCAATTGAATGAGCCAACTATTTGCTCCTGACCCGTATCCGCGATGCAAATGATACCCCGGTAAGGTTCCATCCAAGCAGACTGCAAAATCCGAAAGCACGATTTGGTAAATTAAGCCAAAATAAAAATAAGACAGATCCCAAATAAATAATGAAATTCAAATCACTATCATTCAGGAATAACGAATAAGAAATTATTCACAAAATGAATTGGAAAACAAAAGAAAAGTAACAAATTTAACACCAATCACATCAGCTTCATGATAAACAGTATGCTAATAATTCAAGCAGGAATCTGACTCGGAATCTTAGACCACTGAAGGGAAAAAAGAACTGAGAAAACAGAATTTCAAGTAGTAAATAAGATGTTTCCAGGAGAATTGCAATACAAGCTAAAATAAATACATAAATGGAGGGACAAAACAAAGCAATCAACATACAGCATACAATCTGTTATCTCACCTCTCCAAAAAAGTACAGAGAACAACAGAAAAAGGTACTAAATTTATCAAAATCAAGCAATATGCAAAATATTTCGAATTGAAAAAAGACAAATGAAGATGTGGGTTAGGCCAGTTCGTCACAGCCCGTGCCCTTGCACAGAGTTCGATTCCAATCCTCGTAAACCAGAGTAGTTTAGAATATTGTCTTGTAAACGAAAAAAATAACAATATGCAAAATGTATATCATAAGAGCGGAGATTTCACCTGCTCCTTTGGCCCCAGCTCCTCCAATGATGGTCAGTCCAACCATCAGCAAGTCAGCTCCAACCTTTGATTCTCCATAGCCCTCCAACAAAGCCATCTCTGTTTCATTGAAGCCGTACTCCATAAACCCAGCAGCCCATTTGCTGAAAGCAAGTGAAATCACAATGCTAACCCAGAAAAGCTTCATCTTTGCCCTCCCTTCCCTCTCTCTCCTCTCTGCTTCTTCTGTGGTTCAAATCTCTCTGCCACCACCCAAGTGCTGTAAAAATATAAACTTTTATTTATGAATAATAAAAAATAAATGGAAAAGAATTGAAGAAATAAGGAAAACTTTGATTTGCCTTGGTATTTGCCGAAATGGGTAGTGACTGGTTGCTATACATTTCTTGGAAGGAAAAGTTATTCAGCTTGGGAGTTTATATGGAAGGAAATCAAGCTCCGTAAATCGAGAGAGAGAGAGAGAGAGAGAGAGAGAGAGAGAACAGTGTGCAGGGCTTTTAAGGTTTACTGCACCATAAGCACGTACGCTTCGAATATTAATTACGTAATTTAGGAGGGTAATGGTAAAGGTACGGGCACAACAGGACAAGCTAGGTCACAGGACAATGACTACCGTTGATTTAAGCGAGAACAATCATCACCCCTTTGATCGGTTGGTCCATAGGAGCGGACCTACCATGGTCATTGTTGTAGTAGGTGACCTTTGGTCGTAAATATCGTGGTATTTGGAGTTCAGATCTTGTGCAGTGTTTTTTGACTTGTGTCCACTGATTAAATGGAAAGTAGAACTAAACACAACATATAATTAATCAATAATTTTGGCGGCAATTCTTTTCCTTGTAAGCATAACCAAATGAATATTTTATTTTTATTAATATTTAGTGTGCATCGTTACACGCTTAGATTAACAATATTTTTTTGTCATTTTGATTAAAATTTAAAATTTTCAAGTTATTTTTATTAGTTTTTCTTTAAGATGGAGTTTTAACGAAACACTTTCGGTACTGTTCACTTTTAACAAAAAATACATTTTAACTCTAAAAAGTCACTTCTGGTATTATTCACTTACAACACATTTTTGTCATTTTGATTAAAACTCAAAGTTTTCAAACCATTTTTATTAATTTTCCTTTAATATAATTTAAATAATTTAAGATACAAATCTCGAAATTAAACTAATTTAATAACAAGCAACAATGCACTAACTTGCAGTTTTTTTATTACGCTACCATAGATAGAAATAAATAAAACCCTTACATGCAAATTTGGGAAGATAGATGGGTGTCTCTACCATCATCTTTTCTTCTCGCCAAAACCTTTACACTGCCAACTTCAAATGGTGAAGGAACTCATCGATCCTGAAACTAAGCAATGGAAGATTAAAGAGTGAAATAGAAGCGCCTCAATGTGATAAAAGATTTTTGTTTTTGTATTTTGTTGTTTTTTATGTCTCCCAATATTTCAGATCTTGATTCCGCCTCCATGCGTATATATATTATATCTACAATGTACTACACAGTCCATACGTCATACCAACATTTGTGGCTGTTAGATCATGAATTGCCCATTTAACGTTTTATTCATTCGGTGCATATCATATACCAGAGTATAATATAACTTTTTAAAAATTAATATGCCACGGGGTCCAATATTATATAATTATTTTATGGTTAGTATAATAGATACAAAACATATATATATATCTCCAGTTGTATGGTAAATTATCTGAAACAAGTGGGAAGGAACTCTAAACTCTTTTTAGGTAGTTAACTCAAAGTAAGGCTGCCGACAACTATGGGAAAAATAGGAGGGAAAGATTGATGTAGTGTGAATGGGGATTGCAATATGAGGCCAGCTAACTCCAATCTAAATCTAATCTAACAGAAAGCTTGGAATGTTCGAAATGAACAAGTTGATTAAAGCCATTTGAGCTTAAGCCTTATTCCCATCCATTAATATACTATTATTTTGTATAGAGACTGCTCAATTATTAGGTGGACGGGACGTCAACATTCTTCTCAATGTTTCCAAGCGAAGAAAAGAAATAAATAATGCACAATTCAATGACTTTTTAGTTAAAATGGGTTTTAAGATTGATATAATTCGTCACTTTTGTCTTGAGATTTAAAATCGTTTGAACTGATCATTGAATTTGTCTACCATCAATCACTTTGGTCATTTCAAAAATCTCCGTTAAATAAGGGGGGAAAATGACAAACACACTCATTTTTTTGTCAAATCATTTTGATTCATTGTTTATTAGATTGAGAGTATTTTTGTTATTTAGTCCTTATTTAAATAACATTTTTCACGGAATGACCAAAATGAGAAGTTATGCCAATCTTAAGAATCATTTTGATTAAAAAGCCCAATTTAATTAGTGCATAGTGGGTGAAAAGAAATTGGCGTTTTCTTGTACGTAATTCCCTATCTAATAAGATTAGGTCAACAAAGTACCATATTATTCCTTGGCGTTCACGCAACTACTTGGCCATTAATGTACACCGCGTACAACTACATACATCTACACATTGCGTAAACTAGGTTGTGTGGACTAGTGTTTTCTTCTAAGGATGTTTTAGTTCCTTTGCTTAATTAGGATGAATTTTCATGGGCGGGAGGACATCGTCTTTATGTGGTATGAGCTCTTCATAAAGGTGAGATTTTTTTAGTCTGATTGTCATATCGTCGTGTATATTACATATATACAATTAGAAAATTAGTTTCTTCATTTTTATTGGTTTTTTTTTCCCAAGGTTATGATTCATTGCCCGTTAAATTTAAGATGTTTTGCTTGCTAAGTTTAGGATTTGCTTTCGTTTTCTCTATTTATAAAAGTGTTTGTATTTGTTATTTAACAAGTACGTGAAGATATAACCTCTTCGAATACTTGCTCTTAAAATACTCCTTGGAAAAATACTTCCTCTTAAAAAAAGCAACTTACTTCTCTAAAAAAGTCTCCCGTCCATGAGTCAAACACTTATATGTTTTCTAGCAGAAAACAACCCCAGATATACCTTAAATTTTGGATGTTACATGTCTTGATATAGTCAATGAATTCAAGATTGTAATCAAAAGAATTGTTGGACCTCAATGCATTGTGTTGGGCTCTAGAAATAATGATATGCACTAATATAGTGGAACTTTTCTATAAACCCATTTTATGACCGACACACCCATGATCCTTTATTCCTTTAGCAAATTTTCTTAGTGCAAGAGGTTTCTTAAGGATTTAACTTGGCTCCTCAATGATTAAGGAGGAGTCTCCTCAATTCATTATGTGTGAATCTACAGAAATTTATATTTTTGATCAGAATTGTTCATATTTTAAATTACTCTGTAAAATAATTTGTAAAAGAATTAAATATGAGATCATTTAGTCATCAAACTGTATAATAATAAATGGACAGATTCGCTAAAAAAATTACTAACCATCGATTTATTTGCTACAATTGACTGACCAAACAACCTTAGCTTTAAATAATTTTTTGTACATGTGATATTTATAGAACAATTTATGATATGAACGATTCCGATTATAAACACGTAGTTCTGTGAATCAAAGCCAAGTCCTTCTTTCTTTCTTTTCTTTTTTTGTTAATCAGGTGTATTTATATGAATTTCCCACCTCTAATACCGTTTGTATGTATCTATATACATAAAAATTAGAAAGGATCTAAAGGAGGTATTTTTTGGGCAAAATTTAAACCATATAAGTGCAACCATTACGTAGTGGTTTAGTAGTTGGGGACGAATTCTAGGCTTGTCTTTTATATGGCAAGTCTTATGTTCAATTTCTAGTGCTGGTGTATGACACGGTGGTAGTCAGAGAATGTCTAAAATGTCTCCGCATGTATTTTCAGTCCCAAAAGAGTGAACTTTCGTAACAAAACTACCCACTGATTATTAAAAAAAAAAAACGGTATAAGTGTGTTGCAGTCACGTGTAAGAGACACAGTAATTAAACGAAGAATTCGGTTTATTTGGAAAACCATCATATTAATGAAAAGAGGTGGTGGCCTGTGAGCTAGCTGAGCTCTTTGTCTCGGTCCCATAATCACATGCATCTTTTGAAGCTTGAAAGGCACAAACCCACCAAGTTCTGTCACGCACTATTCCTATCCGCATATTGTATTCCACCAACAAATCTGGGTTTGGTCTGCACACTTGGTTTTACAACTCCAAATCCCTCATTAATTCGCCTACTTTTGCTAATTAACCACAGAATTAGCATGATAATATCATTGTGGAGGTCACTACTCAAGTTGTCAACGAGGGTTGTTTGAGTTGGTAAGGATCGTTCCCTTCGCTAAATCAAATCTTAGGTTCGAGTTCTGCTATCGGCAATCCCTCTTGGTGGGAGATTTTTAAACACCAAAACATGGGCTAAGACCCCTCTGTAAGTCTTTAAAGAGATTTGTGGTGTACCCTGCCCTTGAAATGGGGTAGTCTCCCCTCTCCTAAACTTTTTGTAATCGAAAAAAGAAGTCATCAGCCAAGTCCTAAACAAACAAGAACAAAAAAAAAATGTTTGAAGGGACTGATTCATTTATTGCATAGTTCAGAATTCTTAGTCGTTGGATCTTAAGTTATTTTGTCATTGATTAAGGACTCTTTGGCATCCTGAGCGGGAGAAGGGGGTAGGTTGATTTGGTAGCCGCAGTCTAGATCTTGATGTGTAGTCTTACTTGCCTAATCTTCTATACATTGACTAGCTTTCTCCCACTTGGATGTAATTCTTTTTATTCATTACCTATATTATCAACTATCATTTAAAATTGATTAAACATTCAACAACTAAGGACTTGAACCGAAATATATATATGATGTGTACTTAAACTAACCTAAATGATAGATTGATTTTAGCCAAATTAAACTTGCAAGCGCACGAATCAATTGTAGTAATATATATATATATATATATATATATATATATGCAAATACGAGGTCGATCCCATAGGGATTGCTTTAACACCAATTTAACCGATTAATCACGCTAGACTTAATTAAACAAATAAAGGTTAGATTGAATCGAATAATTGATTAAGACTATAATTAACAAAAAAAAGAAAAGACAATTAATTAAAATAAACACATGACACAAGAAAACCTAAGGTTATCAATTCACCAATAACAATCTTGTTTACTTTTCCTAGAGCCAACTACTATCCAATTACCATGTCAATGTTAAAGGTTGTTCTTTCTAAGGTATGAATTAAGCCTGGTTTGGTACTGAGGTAATTCTGAAAAAAGTGGGTATCAAAAAAAGCTGGGAGCTTTTTTGTGTTTGGTAAACATTCGGCTTCAGCTTTTTTTTCACAGTTTTGGGTGAAAAAAGCCAAAAACACAAAGCTGCAAAACCCAGCTTTGAAAAACCGGCTTTTTTCACATCTGTTTTACATAAAAGTTTACCAAACACTATAATACTGCTTTTTTTTTTCAAAAGCACTTTTACAAAAACGTTTACCAAACATTCTGCTGCTTTATTTCA